AAGCAGAAAATTTCGAAGAATCTTTGCGCGGGAAAGAGGCTAATGAGGCGAGATTGCTTAGGAAGTAAAACTGACCCGAAGCTGGCATAGGGCAAATTTTGAAAAACAAGCGCTTATGTTGAATGAAAACAAGGTCGGGTGGATTATTACATACATGCATGCCATTATGTTCGCTCAGCCACACCCATCAACAACCGTATCTATCTATCTATCTATCTATCTATCTATCTATCTATCTATCTATCTATCTATTTCAGTCAATTCTTGCCTATTTCAGTATGTTTTAAAGCATCTACCCGAGTTGATATATCTCTCGTATTGTTAATTCCTGTCTATTGTTCAGTTTATGGATATCTCCCTTTATTTTCTGGCCTCGTTCGGTTTCTATCCCAGTAGAGAAAGTTCAGCCTGATCCTATAGAGTTGCAAAAATTGAGTTTTAATTAAGGGAGAGTTAAAAAGAATAATAGCGGACACAAATGAAAGAACGCTGGCTGGCTAAAGCAGATACATTAGGAAAGTTGAAGAATATATTCACTAAAGTGCTGTGATAAAAATGAGGGCGCTTGTAAAGTAGTGAAAATGCGTCGTTTCATAACGGCATACAACACTAGAGAGGTTAATGAGTAAACGACAGAGTTAAGACGTTAAAGAAGAAGGGATTCGTTCGAATAATTGATAAAATGAAGGCAAAATAACAAAATAGCAAGTAACAAGAAATTCTAAAAAGGTAAGAAAATGTTTAGGAAAACAAGACAAAGATCCTAGACATTTATATCTGCAGTAATGCGAAAGTTTCTTGAAGTATGAAAGAACCACGTGCTGCATGTCCCAAATAGGTCAGAGAATTCGATTTGCACATCATTCTTTATCTCGCTTTAGACAGCGATTAGAGCCAATGAATACCAAAATTAAGTATTAGGGTATTAGCAAATACTGCCTGTGATGATAAGCTATCCATGGGAAGACAGATTAGCACAAGTTATCACCCGTTATCGCATAATGCATGCATTTATAAAAAAATAAAATCACAATATTGCTTAATGTCATCTATAAAATAACTTGTACTCTAGCGAATGTCACTCTCCATCATACACAAACATCAAAGCCGTACATTTGATATAAACAACTACACCTTCCCAAATACACGTAAAGAAAACATATACACTTTATAATGTTAATGGTAAAAAGAACTACAAATGTTAGAAGCCCTAACCATAAAGTCTCCATTAACGTTACAATTGTAATTTTAAATGTATCCAATAACTGACGATACATTCAGTCAATAAAGACTCGCTTTCGAATCAGCTACGATGTTCAAATTCCAGCTGGGTTCGTTTCATTCACTTACGGGTAAATACCCGTGAGAAAGGTACGAATTTATCTACTCCACACCAGCTAAGAGTTAAATAGTAAAGCTTATAGATATATATATATATATATATATATATATATATATATATATATGGTAAATAACTTCATTGCCTAACGCATAAATATTGGCTGAATGTTATTTTTTAATTTTCACTGAATAATGTTCGATCTGTTTGCTTAATATTTCTCACAGAATTAAGGGCAATGACATGAAAGAAGATTATGTTGAAAGATAAATATTTGCATTTATCCAGCCTTCTCTCTCTCCCCCCGATCTCCAGTTCCGAGACATCATGCGTTACACCACCTGCACATCCAAGCATAAAGCACCTGTTATTTCCAAGTGGGCAGTGAGCTACGTACTGACAAGGTTCGACGTTGCTTAACTTCGATGATCGTGCAAGAATCATGATTTCGCTGTAGGCATCTCTCACATCATTACTCACCACCTTCTATGTCAAATTATATAAAAGCTTAATACTGCCCATAAAAAGTGTGAATTTTAAATTCATTCTTCGTTTCACCTTTTGAAAGTGAAGTCAGAAGATCTAGAGAAAAATAAAATTCTCTGGTGAAATAAATTATTACAAATGGAGCCTTAAAGTGGTCTGTTTTTTTTAAATTAAATATATATATATATATATATATATATATATATATATATATATATATATATATATATATATATATTATCTCGTTAAACGTTATTTTTTGTAGATAGCAGTATTTGAGTAGGGACTCCGTTTATGTTTTTCTTGAATAAGATTTCTGAATATTCAGACCAGTAGGCTAAAATATGTACATACATACACACACACACACACACACACATATATATATATGTTTGTATTTTTATGCATTATTTATATATACACACATTTTTAAGTAAATGCTGTGCTTATAATAAACAGTATTAAAAACATTTAGCGGCCTGAACGTCCGAGAAATTTAATAGAAAATATACGTCCTCCGACAGGAATTGAACCTGTATCCGTCATATATATAGCCTGACGTGCTATACTGTCAGAAGACGTCTAGGCCGGCAAATGATGTTAATACTGTTTTTATAAACAGATCATTTACTTTAATGTAAATAATGTATAATATATATATATATATATATATATATATATATATATATATATATATATATATATATATATATATATATATATATATATATATATATATAAAGAACAGTAAGATATATAATCTGGTGTTCTTACAGATATTTTATTTTTACAAAATAGTGTTCGATGTAAATTTACAGAGCATTAATATTGTAAATTAATTGATTTAAAATATGTTTTTTTCCGCTACAAAATTAAATTCGGGGCTTTTAGATTCCATTTTTGAAACATGGTTAGAACTGTGTAGCGGAAAAACATATTTTAAATCAATTAATTTATAATATATATATATATATATATATATATATATATATATATATATATATAGAGAGAGAGAGAGAGAAGAGAGAGAAATAGACATATATAGAGAGAATAAACTCTTAATAACTGATGTACGCGTATGAGGTCCGCTATATTAATGTCACGACATGATATTATGACGTTTTCTCGCCTTAATTATAATATTAATAGATCTCTGTGTAGTAAGATAAAATTGATATAACGGATGTCATTTTTTTCTTAACAAATATGCAGTGTATAATGCCTTTGCCATTTATGAATATAATATAATATAATTTTGGTTCCTTTACTCTTCTGCGATTGTCAGTTTCATGTGCTTGAAAGAACAAACCATTCACAGAAATCTCTATATAGTTCACGTGAAGCACTTTTACTTTTTTGCAACACACACACACACACATACACACACACACACACACACGCGTGTGTGTAATATTTATTAATAAAATAACATTTCTGAAAATTCGCCTTATGGGTTTTATAGGATGAGCCACGGAAAACGTTTCTGGCTATTGAAAAAAATAGAAGGAAAAAGTCAAAAATGAGGCAAACTGCTCTGTTAAAAGTGTTGTCGTGCAAGCACATGTTTATCGTCTGTGTTCGTGGGCAATGAAATCCGTACCAGAGTTACATGAGACTTGCTTCTGTGACTCTGGAAGAATGGGAGAAGTGGGATAGGCAGGTTTGGTAGTTTTGGTGGCGGCCGGGGTATCTGGGATGAATGGTTGGAATTAAAACAACAACAAAAATGTAGGGAGAGCGGTTAGGTAATGGCTGCTATCTTCCGCCCCCGCAAAAAATGTAATAAATAAATAAATAGTTTCACCGCTAACAAAAATGTTCCGTTCCAGAAAGTATCTTTTCTTTCTTCCTCTTTCTTTTTCTCTTCTTTTCTACTTTAATTTAACTTTTCTCTCTCTCTCTCTCTCTCTCTCTCATTCTTTTTCTTTTCTCTATTTCTTTTACTCTTCCTTTATTTTTCTCTCCTTGTCTTTTTCTCTATACTTTCTCTCATTCTACCTCTCTTCTTTCTTTGATATCTTCACTTTCTTTTCTTTTTTTACTGTCTCTCTTAATTTTTCTTTTCTTGCTCTTCTTTCTCTGCTCTCTCTCTCTCTCTCTCTCATTCTTTTTCTTTTCTTGCCCTCATTTTCTTTTCTGCCCAGTCATTTTTCCTTCTCTTCTCTTGCTCTTATGATATTTACTAATGTTAGCTTAATATATCACTACGACTGAGAGATACGATGACAAGAAGACTTTATTGCGCCAGTTTTATAAATGTTATTTTGTAAATCAGTATTGGTAATGTTAGTCTTTTAAATGGGCTCAAACACAGATCCTTGGCACTGGGGAAAAGTACGTAACTACCTCAGTTATAAAGCAAGCCTCTGGTTACGGGTCTGACACAAGGCTACAAATGTGATGAACTCAGTTAGGATTGAGCTTATTATCTCTCCCTGCAAGGCGGCCGGCCCATCTGTCTCCCTTTTAGAACAGCTTTCATTCCTTTCTTAAGATCCTTTCTCGTTCTACACCACTGTCGTCGTCATGGTCTGAAGATTAACTTTTCAGCGAGATGTATGTTACTATGGTGATTCTATGATGAACAACATGAATTGCTGTTGTGCAGTTTTGGGCCTTCAGGGGCCGAGTGCTTCAGTAAGATGAAAAAAAATAAAAAGTAAAAACTGTTGTTGAAATAAACAATTTGGGTTTTCATTTTTGTCTTCTGTTTCTTATTTTATGAAATCTCAAACTACGGTAGCCTCAGTGTAGTACATCTACATCTTTCTTTTCTTTTCTTTCTCCATTCTTTTTTTTTTTTTCTCTCTTGGTTCCTCTTCTGCTTTTCTTTATTACTCTCTCTCTCTGTTTTTAGCAATACCTCCTTTTTGTTAGGTTAATTTCTTCCGATCTTTTTTCTTTTTTTCCATCGCTCTTTTCTTTTTGCGTCCTTTTCTTTGTTATTTATCCTTTCCTTTCCTTTCTTCTTTTAGTTTCTCCATTTTCTTTTAAATATTTTTAAATAAGTCTTTTTTTTTTTCGTTATTTCAATCCTCGAGAAATTTTAAGACAGAAATGTCGCATTCTTGAACATAGAATAAAATAAAATTTCAATTCAGCTTTGAATTTTCTGAAAGACATTTCCGGATATCGAACTAGTAGACTGGTAGAGAGACAAATAGATATGAACAGACTAAGATAGATATATAAATAGATAGATAAATAAATAGATATAAAGAGACTAAGAGAGATAGACAGATATGAACGGATATATATATATATATATATATATATATATATATATATATATATATATATATATATATATATATATATAGAAAGATAGATATAAAGATATATATATATATATATATATATAAAGATATATATATATATAAAGATAGATAAGAAAGATAGATACATAGATATGAACAGAATGAGATAGATAGAAAGATAGACAGATATGAACAGAATGAGATAGATACATAGATAGATATATAGATAAGAACAAGCCAAAATAGACAGATAGATAGATAAGAACAAGCCAAAATAAATAGATAGATAGATAGATAGATAGATGGATAGATATGAACAGAATGAGAAAGATAGATAGATATGAACAGAATGAGATAGATAGATAGATAGATAGATAGATGGATAGATATGAACAGAATGAGAAAGATAGATAGATATGAACAGAATGAGATAGATAGATAGATAGATAGATAGATAGATAGATAGATATGAACAGAATGAGATAGATAGATAGATAGATAGATAGATAGATAGATAGATAGATAGATAGATAGATAGTGCATACCAGTGACGAGATTTCATCTTGATACCAAGCGAATGAAGTTGTAGTTTCTTGTCTTAGCAGGAAGTGAACACAAATATAATATTTAACTGGAAAGAAAAATAAATGAAAGAAAAAAAGAAGGAAATAAATGAATTTTAGAGACTTACTTTGCAAGGATCTCGGCACTGGCACATTTGGTTGCCCTCAAAATCGTGCTCAAAACCGTACGGACATTGCAGGTGGCACATCTCTTCTGGGAGGGGCAATGGTAACGAGTTCGAGTAAATACAGGCCAGCATTCCCTGCAAGAGCAAACAGATAACGTCGTATATATGAACATTTTCAAAAATCACGGACTTGAAGAAGTGTCACGTGGAGAATACAAGTCAGTATTTTAGTAAGAGAATTTAGATCAAGTTCGTTCCACGAATAGTAGTCAATGATAGAAGCAATTCCTAGTATCTAATAGTCCTGTTCTGTCAATAATACTTGCTATAATTCCAAACCACCGGCAGACATTTTCTTCCAGATTTTCAACGTATTTCTTTAGCACATTGGAATAAATATAGCATGAGTGTTCAGTACTTAGAACCAAACAGCCAGACTCTACCCACACATGTGATGTGATTATACTGGTGAAGGCTTGTGCAGAAGCGACTTCACTTTATGCAAGAGACGAAAACAGAGAAACTCCCCAAGCGACCCTCCTCAGGTTTTGAATTCAGAATTTTCCGTCTCCTAGACGCGTTGCATCCCAAGAATATAGGACCAATGTCCTTCTTTTAACGCGTAGCTGGGTCTAGGAGAGATGTATTTATGTCTTTCCCAAGGGTATTAGCACGTAAGTGAATGTAATGAACGCGACTAACAGTACGGAGACGTAATGGATAGCGATTCGGATTGGGAATCGGAGAGTCGACTTTATAAGTGAAGGTGGTCAGCACCGCAAAGTGTCTGTCTATTTCATGTTTGAACACAATTTGCAGGGCATTGGTGTCCACTGTGATATTAACATACGCTCTATCGCTGATACTGAGCCATTTTACCTATAAATATAGCACATCTTTAAGCTATATTATATCACACACGCACACACAGAGATATATCAGCTTCAGAAGATTGCATTTAAGCATGAAACAAATTGTCGCCGCTTATAGGTTTTGGATTCATTGTCCATTTTTATATTTACATATGTCTATCCGTGATATTGAGCACTTTAACCCATAAATATAGCATACATTCAAAAATATATTTTATTCACTTTGTCATTATATATATATATATATATATATATATATATATATATATATATATATATATATATTCATACATGTTTCATTAAATAATATAGACAAGTGGTGTCTATTTATTTTACGTAAATTCTTTTCATAACGTCTGATAAGCTTAATAACATTATCATTAAACGAAGAAAGAAAATCACAATATTGATCCATATTTTTTAATCCAATCTAAGCTTTCAGCTTACATAAGCCATTATCAAAGATGTCAATTACAGTACAATATATTAAGCAATATACGGACAAGACAGGGATGATAGTCTGTGATTGTTTACATGGATGATTTCCAAGCAACGATAAACACGTTCATATAAGACGCTAGAAGCGAAAATCGAACTCATGACGTCACACATGACCACGCAGGAGCGAATTCAAAAAGTATTAAGTATGGGAATTCGTTGGTATAAACCAATGGCTTCTGGGATTCCATAGTTGATTTTGTTTAGGTTAGGTTTCAACTGTTTGATGTATATTGCTTCAAGGATTTTTAGTTTTTGTCTATTGTTTTATATATATAATACGTAAAAGTTTAATGGTCAGAGTTGAATCAAAGCAGGAAATACACGTCTGAAAAAATAAAAGTAAAAATAATATGTAGAGATTTTTAATTTTAAAAATCAAGTCAGTTGAATCCGCTACCTTGGTTTCAACTTTACGGTTATCCTCAGACGATTTTTATACAAATTTTTGATAAAAATTGCCTAAGGATACCGTAAGGTTGAAAACAATACATACATACATACATACATATATATATATATATATATATATATATATATATATATATATATATATATATATATATATATATATATATATGTATGTATGTATGTATGTGGTGTGTGTGTGTGGTAATTATAGAGGTTCTCTCCTTTTCTTTTAGTTTAGTGCGCCACTTTCCCTATACCGATGACTGTGACCTGGTCGCATACACAATTCAGCACGCACAGAAGTTCATGGATCGACAATCAGGTTTCATGCAAAACTTTTGTACTGTCCATCAGTCGGGAAAAGACAATGGTGATGTATCAACCTGCCCGAGGAATTCAGTATATAGAGCCATCGAATTACGTTGATGGTAGTCGACTTGGGGTAGTAGACACCTTGGTAGGACCCTCAACCGTCACTGCCTCCTTGATGATGAAATAGCGTTACAGATTAAGAAGGCCTCCGATGCATTTGCAGCACTTAAGTTCCGTATCTGGAATCAGAATGGCATAAAAAAGCAGGCAAAAATTAAAATTTGTAATACCTGCGTTATATCATCTCTGCTATATTCATGTGAGTTATGGGTAGTCTATTGCAGACATCTGAAGATACTGGAACGTTTTCATCAATAAATATGGTGACAAAGATGAGGACAATAGTCCGAATAATGTAAATAGTGTACATAATACCTCATCTCAGAAATATAGACAGATACTTTACGAGGGATGTTGGAAAGTTCTCGAACTATTAAAAATCATATGTTTGGTCTTTTGGTCCGATTTAAGCAAGTGAGGTAGGCCGATCATTTTTCAGTACCCCCCCCCCTTGTAATTTATATTTTGACAGTAGTTTTTCATTTAAACTAATTTCATTAAAGACCACAGAGTAAATTTGTTTTGATAATATCTTAGTGATTTTCTCTTGTTGCCATGCAACGTAGGGGGTCAATGCCTATTAGGCGATAGACATGTTAACAGACACACACGCCTGTGCGCGAATGTACACAAACGCACATTTATTTTTCAAGATAATTTCCTCTATTGTAAATTCATTTGATTCATTGTGGAATATTACCCAGATAGGTCGAACCTGAAACCTGACAGTAAAAATCAACATTTAGCTAATACCTCGTAGTGATAGTGTTGTAGCATACCTATGGACGATAATGGATATGTCCTCATTAATATAAATAAAGTAGTAGATACTGTATGTTGGTCCGCAGTTGGAGATTCGTCTACGGCTGTGCTGGTCAAACTCTCTGTCTCAGGGCAGAGAGGATCTCCAGACGAGACTATGTCGAAGAGTAGAGTCTCCGGAAACAGCTAACCGACTACATTTTATACTGGGGTCTATGGGGGATTTTGGTCGAGCCTACGGGCTCGGATACTCCACATTAAATTCGGTGACACATCTGACCACGTGGGGCGGTTGGTAGATATTCTACAGTTAGAGATTCATTGTGGAATTCATTTGACCCAGTTCTAGTAGTTGATTACTTCCACGCACCGCTGGCGAATCTTTTATGTGTTGTTCTTGTCTGAAGTATTATCGTTCATTACCAACATTCGTCATCAGTAACCTTCCCTAGATTAGCTCATTGACTTACTGATTCTTTCTTTCTTTCTTTCTTTCTTTCTTTCTTTCTTTCTTTCTTTATCTCATTCTGTTTTTATATCATTTTGTTTCTATCTATAAATCTCATTCTGTTTTTATATCATTTTGTTTCTATCTATATATCTCATTCTGTTTTTATATCATTTTGTTTCTATCTATATATCTCATTCTGTTTCTATCTATCTATCTATCTATCTATCTATCTATCTATCTATCTAAGTCATTGTATCCACATATTTGGATATGAAACGTAAATCTAAAAATAATTGTAAGGTGAGCAGCGTCTCAAGTTATTCTAATGTGCGTTTGTATTGTGTAGAAAAATTTTCCTGTTGTATTATACCGGAACTCTAAATATGCCAAATAAGTTTCACTTTCTATCTCCCAGTGTTGCTGTACCAAGCATAGCGGAATAATGATGTTATTAAGGTATACCCTTGATGTTTTGACTTCAGTCAATTGTGCATTTCATTATAATTATATATATTATTATATTTTTATTCGATTAATATTTCCAGGAAGATAGATGAACTTCTAATCATACAAAAGATCTTCCATGGATTGAAGCAAGTAATAGTTTGAAAGTTAAATGTCTGGAGAATTTATCGGAAAATTCACCACATGCGGAAATCTTCTTGCAACTGTTTCACTATTTTGATCTTGTGTTAGATTTACTAATTTTATTAAATTAATTTTGATCTTAGTGGCTAACAAACTCCCTCTCAAAACATTATTATTGTAATTAAATTGATTTATGGCCTTGAAACTGACCAAAGTAATTCTCTCCAAATTTTCAGGGTGTCTGTTACAGCATAGTCGTAATATGTTAGTTTTGCATGGCTTTGATATTGATATAGATCCTCACCGAGGGGAACCAATGTTGAGTCTCTGTTTCAGACTAAGACATGCTTCGGACTATTATGGAGGCGAATGGACCCGGATATTTTCTATTGGTTTTAATGACCAATTTTTGAATCAACGTAAAAGCTAAGATTGAAAACTGATCTTTAAGGCGGTTAGGTCCTCCCCACTTCAGAGATCGGCGCAGATTTTTTTACTGTGTATATCCTCACATTTAACACTGTTCTAAAGAGCATTGTAAACGTTAGTAAGGAATCGTATTCTCTTATAAATATACATTTGACGAAACAATTACATTTCGTTTAGTGTGCATATTTAACACAATAGCAACGCCTAAAAAAATTCCCGTTGTGTCATTCCCCATGATGATTTCATTGTGAGTTGCTCAAAAGCAAAAAAAAAAAAAAATGAAAAAAACTTATTCATTTTATGGCAAAAGCTGCTATTCTCAAGTTATTTGAATTCTTCTGAGATTCCTACTTCACGCTACGTCTTTTAATGTTCGGAGAATATAGCGATAAAATGAATTGAAGAAATTACTTGTTAGAAGTGAAGTGAAATTGCAATACTAGATAGACTCGTTATCCACGTATATAGATTTGTGCTGATAGTGAAATCAGCAGATACTAGTGAACCATATATAGTGAGTATAGCGAAATATTTTAATCTGGAAATCGACATTTTGAAGATAAATTGAAATTTACCCCAGGCTCCAATGCTTCAGTTTGTATGAGTTTGAAGGCATTTAAATTTAGATATAGTTTTTTAGGTTTGGTTTGATTGAGTTTGTTTAGCGGTTTATCTATAATATAATATGTATT